TGCTTTGGGCTAGAGTTTGTTGGTTGTTGCTTGTGTTTTGTTCTTCTTGGCTGTTCATGCTATTATCTTTTGATAGTCTAGGTGCATATACTGGTATATATATATGACTCTGCTCATATCTATCGTTTCTTTTTACCAAGTCTATTAGGGACTGGTTGTTGTTGTTTTTAGTCTTCTTATTGTATTTTTGTCACTGTTATTGTGTTGTTGTGGTGTTGGTTGTTGTATTGGTTGTTCTCTTACGTTTTGTGCTAATTTTGTCTACGTTCTGGCTTTATTTAGGTTCTTTTTACCAAGTCTATTAGGGACTGGTTGTTGTTGTTTTTAGTCTTCTTATTGTATTTTTGTCACTGTTATTGTGTTGTTGTGGTGTTGGTTGTTGTATTGGTTGTTCTCTTACGTTTTGTGCTAATTTTGTCTACGTTCTGGCTTTATTTAGGTTCTTTTTACTGTAGCTTTCTTTTATTTTGTTATTTTTCATTAAGTTTGCTTGTACTTCCTTTTTTCACGCTGTTTTCAGGTTTTTTGTCTCTGATATTTGGTGAACTAGCAAGCTCATCCACGCTAAAAATATCAGAACGATGTCGGGTAGATGTGGACAACCTTTCATCTATATTAAAAAAAACAAATATAATTAAAGTTAAGCAAATACCGGTATATTGTAATATTAAATTAACGTGCCTGAATCAATGAGCTCTGGCACTTTTACAATAGTTTTTGACACCCTATAAATAATACCATATTTTTAGTTTCACCAAATACTTTCTCGATAGCCTCATTATAGTTCTTATAAAATTACCTAGAAAATGGAACGTCTCTTAATTCCTTGGTGGGTGATGGAAGGTTTTCATTATCATCATAAAATATTCTATTTTTTGACATTTTTTAAATTCGTTTTCCGCGTTCGCGTAAAATGAAAAATCTATGTTGTTGAAATACGTGAATGATCACTTGATCATCCCGGATCAGCCCGGGAGTATTGCAACTTTTCTATTGGACTAATTTTGATTGGCTGTACTATATAAACATGGCTATCTTTTTAAACTTTATATTTTTTATATCTATTTCTCAATGAGTATGTGATTAAGCCTAATCAATTTTTTATTTTAATTTTACGAGTTTATAGAATTGAAATAAAAAAAGTTTTACTGAGTTTGACCTGGTAGTTATTGAAAAAACTTTATTTAAAATTTTAAAGAAAATTACCGTATATAGTGAATACTGATACGTATTAGAAATATGGTTATAATCATGGCTTTTAAAATTTAAATAACTACTAGGTTTCAGATCCGGACGTTGCTCTGGGTTTAAAATTTTAGTTGTTTTATATTTATATTTATTTTTATTTTTTTTTTGTGAAAAACGGACATGTCCGGCCTATGTTTTATTGGTAATAATTAAACTAGCAATTACAAGAACTCTTAGCAGCTAATATCTACCAAAACAGAATAGCTCACCAAGCCTAATGGCCCAACGCGACAGTTGCCTGGTGTTTCTTGACCACCCTACTATTTCTAGGGGCATTTTCTCAGTTTATCAGCTAAGAGTCGCACATACCCATATCTATATTAATTTTTCTTTCAAAAAGAAGAAACACTAACACAAATACAAAGGGTAAGATCTTGATTTTTCTAAAATGACAAATAAAATCAAATAAAACAAATATGAAAAACAAAACAAAGAAAAGAAAAGAAAACAAAGATAGCTTTATAGTAGAAATCATAAGCATTTCACTTTTCTAACTTTTTAAATAGAAAAGTTACAACTTTAAAATTTTCACAGTAAATAATATTAAATTTGGATTATAACTGTAGGTTACTGTAATCCATAACTAAGATCAGGTGTAACATGACTATCAAAACAACTTTTTTATAAGAATAAAATCATGCAATTAAGGTTAGGGTTAGTGTGAGGCTAGGGTTTAGAGAAGGTAATAGTTTATTAAAATTTAGCAAGGAATTTTTTTTGTTAGAACCCAAAAGGTAGTTTCCTATGTGAAATTTTAGGTTAGAAGCAATTTTTGGCAAAACTAACATTTGTTTTGACTCTTCCCAAATGTGTAACGTTACACCTGATCTTTGAATTTGATTGGTTGATTGGGATGTGGTTACAGTAACCACGGTTACAAATTTATTAACTCATTAAATTTTATATTTTTTAATCAAAAGTTAGATAAGAGTTAAAATTTAACTATTTTAAATACTAAAAACTAATTAAATTTAATTAAAAATTTAAAAAAATTAAAATTAAATCTAAATGCTTTAAAAATTAATAAAATTAAACTTCAAATATTTTTATAGTATTGACAAAAAAATTGATTTAATTTAATAAGATAGTTGTTAAGAAATTAATTTTTAAAGTAATTTTACTATATTTAAAAATAAAAATTTATTAGTTTACACATAGTGTTTATATACAGATATAATTTATTGAATTACAAATTTGTATAATATGCTGTCAAACTAATTTTTACAAATGAAAAATTAAACCATCTCTTATAGCTAAGGTAAAGATAGATTTTGAATTAGACAAGATATAGCCTATACAAAATTTTACAAGAAATTTTTTTTGTTAGAAGCAAAAAGTAGTTTCATAATTAAAATTTTGAGATATCTATATTGTCTGTATATATATATCCATTTACAAATAGAAATTCTTAAAAATTATACATGTTGTATAACTAGGTATTTACTTAGTAAAAATATAGTAATTTTACAAGTTTTACTAAAAATTTTAAAATAACTTTAAAAATTAATTTTTTAACAACTATCTTATTAAATTGACTCAAAATTTTTTTCAATAATATAAAAATGTTTGTATTTTAATATAATAATTTTTTCTAATTTTGGATTAAATTCTATATTTTTATTAATTTTTAATTAAATTCAATTAATTTTTAATTTTAGTAACAAAATTATTAAAATTTTAGCTCTTATATAACTTTTGTTATCTCTTAAACTGTAATCCAGACAAATTTGCCTGAAAAATTAAAGTATATTTAGTATTTTTTAAATAAAATAATAATTTAT